GATCCAACTTCCCATGAGCCCACCTGGGCTTCCAGTGCCCTGTGTGGTGTTTCCACTGCTTTCTGCCACCAGGGCACTCAGCCACCCTCTTGCCACCTCCCTGCAGTGCCCCTGAAGCCAGCACTTTCCCAGGTGGCCCAAGGCATCCAGCCAGCTGCAGCAAGCTGCTGGAAGCACAAGCAGTGAGGAGCCCAGTCCTGCTTCTGGCGGAGCCTGCTTGTCTCTTCCATGGCTTGGAGGTGAGCTGCTGGCAGGTTGAGAATTGCCTGAGCTCCAGGGAGCCCCAGTTCTTCTTTCCAGGGTGGTGGTGCCCCCAGGGCTGCCTTGGTGGCTGCTAGTGGGCCAGATGCAAGCCAGCCCATTCCCAGATGGTCCCAGGTGGCAGGAAGGTGACAGGGACAGTGTACAGGGTGCTGGAAGCCCCGACAGGCTCAGAGAAGAGTTGGATCTGGTCGGGTGCTTCCTCTGAGCAGGGGCAGACTCTGGCCCATTATCAGTCTGCTTGGGTGGCCCCAGAGGGTGTTAGCACTGCAGAGGGAAGGACTAGGGACCGCAATAGCTCAGGGGCCACTCGGCCTGCTGGCAGCTTACCCCCGGCCGTGGGAGAAGAGGGTAGCCTTGAAAAAAAAGAAAAAAGGATTGGGTCTCTCACTGCTTCTGCCTCCAGGTGCCTGTTGGAGTGGGAAGGGGCCCGATCCTTTTTTTCGGTGGAGCCTGCCTGCCTTTTTTGCGGCCAGGGTGCAAGCTGTCAGATTAAAGGCTGCAAGGTTACAAGTAGCAACATTGCAAACTAAACTACATGAGGATGTGGTTTAGTCTGCAATGTTACAAACTCATCTGAAACCCCCAAACCTCGTACACATGTATTGTGTGACACTATTAAGCCACACAAAGGAAATTTTTGTCATGTGTACATGGTGATGATTGTCACATGTACAAGCACCCTGGGAGACAGCATGACAAGAGCAGAGTTTAATTTAGCACATCCCCACTGAAGCCTCCATACTCCTTTGGAGCCCCATATGCAGCTTAGGGTTGCTCTTCCTTAGTGGGAACTGCTGGGAGGAGGGTTAACAGTGATAACAGGATGCAGCAATCTTCCTGACTCTCCATGGTGAAACTTGCTGTTCTATGGGAGTACATTAGAGGTGCACTAATACATTGGTGCCATATCGGATCGGCACCGATATAAGGAAAATTAACATTATTGGAAATTGGATTTTTTTGGCTGATGTGGATGATAAATGTTGCATATAAATGTCTCATGCATGCATGAAGCATGCAGGCAACCAAGAGTGCAGCCTGGCAGCATGGAGAGCACCTGGGAGAGGATGGTAAGTTTGTTTTCAGAGAAGGGGCTTGGGGGGCAGATCAAGGCCCCTGTGGTGAGGGAGGGAGTGGGGCTGGGGCAGGGGCAGGCGTCACAGTCAGGGCGGGGTGTGGGATGGAGCTGTGAGCAGCTCATATGGGGGGTGGGAGGGGTGGCTCTCACCACTGCACACACCCTAGGAGGGCATGGAGGACGTGTGACCATGGATCTGTACACAGGGCAAGGGTGGGCTGCCACTGCAGGCTGGGGCTGGGGCGGCACCGTGCTCTTTTTAGTGGGGGGGTTGTGCTGGGGCTGTGCTTGGGGCAGGTAGTAGCGGCGACACTGGGACGGGGGCTCCAGTAAATTTTGGGGTGGCTGCAGCTCCTTCCCCCTGTAATTCCCTCCTCCCAGTACCACCACCACCTGCCCTGAGCACAGCCTGGCCCAGACCCCCTGCCAGAAAGAGCCCTCACCCCGCGCACAGATCCAGGGACACATGTCCCCCATGCCCTCCCGGGGTGTGTGCAGTGGCTGGAGCCCCCCCCGCCCCATGCCCCTGGGACAAACATCTTGTGGCTCTGTCCCGGGCTCCTCCTGACTGTGCAGTGCCTGCTTCTGCCCTAGCCCCAACCATACTCCCTCTCTCACTGTGAGGGTCTCGATCTGCCCCCCATTCCCCTTCCTCCACAACAGACTTACCAGCCAGACACTGCTCTCCAAGCTGTCTGGCTGCATATTGGCAATCGGATCAGTATAGGCTGATATGGCTCGTTAAAAATTGGCCATTGGTATCGGCCCAAAAAACCTCTATCGGTGCACCTCTAGAGTACATTCCTTGTCTCCCTTAAGTACAATAAAGTCCCCCTAGAGTACAATACAGTTCTTTGGCAGCTGAGAGAGAACCTGACTGGTTTCAGGCCAGCTATAAGCAAATTCAGTATTTCATCTTTACTTTTCCATCTGGCTTTACTTGTGAGCACTCCTATCTATTACTTCAAAGCACAGAGAAGATGACACACTTGTTTAATCTTGGGTGTTTGCCAAGTGCCTCAATCCTCACTTTAAAATGGAGATAGTAATCTGGACTTTGTTCTCTTTGCCTTTTAGGCAGATTCAGGGTGGCCAGTTGTTAGTTGTCTGCAACCTCTGGTGCAACAGGGTCATAGATTCATAGATTCATAGGTGCTAGGGCTGGAAGGGACTTCAGAAGATCATCAAGTCCAGCCCCCTGCCCCAGGGGCAGGAAGTCAGCAGGGATCATAGGATCCCAGCAAGATAAATATCCAAATGTCTCTTGAAGGTATTCAAGGTAGGTGCCCAAACCACCTGCAGCGGCAGTCTATTCCAAACCTTGGGGGCTCGGACAGTAAAGAAGTTTTTCCTTATGTCCAGCCTGAAACGGTCTTGGAGAAGTTTGTGAGCATTTCACCTTGTCATCCCTTGGGGCGTTCTGGTGAACAGATGTTCCCCCAGATCCTGGTGAGCACCCCTGATAAACTTATAGGTGGCCACCAGATCAGCCCTGAGCCTGTGCTTTTCCAGGCTGAAGAGTCCCATAGCTCTCAGCCTGTCATCATAAGGTCTGTACTCCTGACCTCTGATCATGCACATGGCTCTCCTCTGCACTCTCTCAAGCTTCTCCACATCCTTTTTGAATCGGGGAGCCCAAAACTGGATGCAGTACTCCAGCTGCGGCCTCACCAAGGCTGAGTACAATGGGAGAATGATGTCCTGGGATTTCCTTGAGAAGCATCTATGGATGCAAGCCAGCATTTTGCTCGCTTTACTAGCCACAGCATCACACTGAAGGCTCTGAAGGCTCATATTCATCTTGTGGTCAATCATGCCCCCCAAATCCCTTTTGTCCGTAGTGCTAACCAGCATAGCACTGCCGAGCTTATAAGTATGCTGCAGGTTTTTCCTCCCAAGGTGGAGAACCTTACATTTTTCAGTGTTAAACACCATCAGGTTCTCATCCGCCCAATTCCTGAGCCTGTTAAGGTCTGGCTGGATCTCCTTCTGTCCTCAGGTGTGAATGCTTTACCCCAGAGTTTGGTGTCATCGGCGAACTTGGCCAGTCCGCTACTGACACAGATATCTACATCATTGATGAAGATGTTAAATAGTATAGGCCCAAGGGCAGAGCCTTGAGGGACCCCGCTGGTCACAGCAAACCATGATGATTGAATTCCATCAACCACCATCCTCTGGGTCCTACCGCTGAGCCAATTCCCCAGCCAGCAGATCGTGGTGAGGCCGAGGTCTCAGTTGGCCAGTTTTGCCAAGAGGTGATCATGGGATACCAGATTCAAGGCTTTTTTAAAGTCAAGATATATGACATCAATCTCTTCTCCCTTGTCCAGGTGATAGGTCACCTGGTCATTAAAGGAAATAAGATTGGTTAAGCAGGACCTACCCACAACAAACTCATGCTGGCTATCTCTCAGGATGTTGCCGTCAGCTAGTCTGTTAAGGATGAACTCTTTGGTAATTTTTTCCAAGACCTTGCCCAGGATAGAGGTCAGGCTGATGGGCCTGTAGTTTGCTGGATCCACTTTCCTCCCTTTCTTGAAGATAGGCACCACATTGGCCTTCTTCCAGTCTTCGGGCACTACACCAGAGCGCCACGAGTTCTCAAAGATCCATGCCAGGTGCTGGGCTATGATGCTCGCCAGCTCCTTGAGTACCCTGGGGTATAAACTGTCAGGGCCAGCTGACTTGAAGGTATCCAGCCTCTCAAGGTGTTCCTTCACGAGGTCAGCATTGATGGAGGGTAAGGGATCTCCCTCACCCGGGCCTCTCTGTCCCGTAGTGGGCAGGACTGTCCCATGGGACTGGTGAAAAACTGACGCAAAGTATCCATTTAGCAAGTTTGCTTTTTCCTGGGTATTAGTTGTCAGTTGTCCCATCTGGTTTAGCAGGGGTCCAATGTTGGCCTTGCTTTTCCTCCGGCTCTCCACATATCTAAAAAAGGACTTTTTATTGTCCTTGATATTTGTAGCTCAAGGACACTAAAAAGTCCTTTTTTAGATATGTGGTCCTAATATCATTTGGGTGCTCTAGGTAATATTGTACTGAAAATACCCAGAACATTGCACCATCAGAAAATTGTATTGAACAGTTCTGATAACCAGCCTCTTTGCTGCCCAGCAGAACCTGCCTGTAAGTCACAGCACTGGGTAGGTTTGTGCAGGATAGAATGATGAAAATGGCTTTCAGGTGGCAGCAGCCAGTCCAAAAGGACATTTTCTGATCTTGCTGCTGCTGATAGAGTGGGCAAGCAGCCTGTAGGTGGTAGGTGATCTTGGGGTTATGAACAATGACTGCTGGTCTCCTGGGTGCCTGAAAATTACAGTTTGGTGGGGAAACAGGTAAAGCAGCTTGTTTGGGAAGATCCAAGAGTGGGTTAGGCAACAGTCTGCTCTTTCTCACTATGAGCTGGAGGAGAGCAGGGTAAGTCGCTGGCCATTTTCCCTCTCAACAATTGCCTCCTGCTGAGGGGGGAAGGGCAAAGGGGGTGCAAGAAAACAGGGAGGTAACACTTGCCAATTACATGGGAAATTTCACTCTGGAAAAAACGTTATTGGAGTTTGCTTGGAAATAAGACTGTGCTACCAGTTGTCCAAGGCTGTGTGTAGATGGGCATCAGAGCAGGAGCATGGTCTATGAACAAGAGTGAAAGGGATCTGAATGTTCCCTCTGGATGCACAGTTCTCTTGGCAGAGTTGTCTCTGGGTGGGGGGGCAAATTGGGGCAACCGCTCTGGGCCCTGTGCTTTGGGGGGCCCCAGGGAGCCGAATCTGCCACCTCCAGCCTCTTGGTACCCCCCCGCCCTTGAATCCACCATCGGCTTCCTTGTGTCTGGGGGCGGGGCCCTGCACATGTTGATTTCCCCAGGCCCCGCACCCTGCTTGGGTCACCTTTGTCTCTTGGTACCCATGAGAAATTAATTGGTTTGTTAGAGCAGGGCTATCAAAGTTGAGGGCCCTCTGGCCTGTAACATAGATTTGAACTGCACCATGCTGGATGCATCTACATGTCACCCTATGGTGATGTAGTGATTACATGAGTTTACACGTGATTGGCAGCTACGTTGCCATAGTGGCAAAATGTAACCATGTGCTACACGCACCGCTCAGTTACTGCACTGTGCTTAGTACTTCCAAAAGGAAATACTAAAGCACAGCATCATAACAACATTGCCATATGGCAGTGTGTAGATGAGCCCTTGTGTAGCAAAATCCAGGGTAATTAGCCCTGCAGCAGTCAATTTTCCTGTGTACAGTGCGACAAAAACAGGGCTTTGTTGCTTCTGCTTTTGGAGCCAGCGTGTGCAGAGCTAGCTCTGGGTTTCTTCAGCAAGCCTGGCAGGTGGACTATAAGGGAGAGAGCTGTGGGGCTATCTGAGTGAGGTGGACTGGAACGGCACGGGGGACTGAGGGAGAGGGGTGTGGTGGGAATGGGGGAGGGGGAGGGGGAGTGCAGGAGCTGCTCTATGCCAAAGGGGGCCACGCAACATTTCTGCTATCCCTGTACATGTACCCACCGTTCCCTTTCCTCCTAATTCTGCTCCTGTGCTGACAACTCCCTGTCTCCCCAAACTGGCACATACTTTCAGCACTCACCTTTTTCTCCCTGATCCCTTTCACTATCTCATAGTTGCTATTTCCACACTATGAGGAGATAGAACGCTCACTGTTGGGTGTGGGGGGATGTGACGAGCAGAGAGGTTTGGGCCTTGGGGGGAGTGCTGTGAGAATGAAATGGGGTGTGTGAGGGCATTGGGAGCAAGAGGGGTTGTGGGTGGGGGCAGGTGTGGGGGGCTGCAGTGAGGTTTCAATGCTCAGAGGGGCAGGGGAAGGTCGTGTGAGACGCAGGGGGTGGTAGCGAGGGGTCAGGTAGGCCTGGGGTGTGATGCAGATGAGTCTATGCAGGGTGTGGTGAGTTAATGGGTGTATTAAGCAGGCAAGATAGGACTTTGGGGCAGGAGGGGGATGGTGGAGTGTCATGAGGCTTGGATCACAATTAGGTGGGGCTGAGTCTAGGGGACATGTAGGATAAGAGGGGACAGAGTCAAGCCAGGGGTACTTGAGGCAGCAGGAGCAGTGCATAAAAAGCACGGAGGGGCACTTTGAGACAATGGTAGAGTGTCCAGGGGGGACTCACACATGTTGGGGTGCTGGGAGCAGTTCTCTTCCTGGCCAGAGCTGGCCCATGTAAACTCAATTATATTTGTTTTTGCTTGGATTCTTAAGCAGAATAATAGAGCCCTTACCTGTAGCATATTAGTCAAGTTTCTAGATGATTTTTAATTGGAGAAAAAATATGCGTTGTACTATGTGATGATGTACCACACCACCTGCACCCCCATTTTCCAAATCCTAGATCCACCCATGTCCTAACCTACACCTTCTCCCACAGTCCTCTTTCCCCTAACCTCACACATGCCCCCACTTCTCCCAACCCCACAGCCCCTGCCCAAACCCAGGCAAAGCCCAGCTGTAACAGGCTAGTAGTGCCTCTGTCTTGGGGGTAGGGGAAGGGTGCAGACCTTGGGATGTGGAAAGCGAGGTGCCTCATTGCTGGCTTATGATGGGGACTCTAGTGAGAGGGACTGTTGGAAGTACCACTAAAAGGGTATGGGGGCAGTAGTCTCAGCCCTGATTGGGGCCCTTCTTCCAGAGCATCTCTTTTCCTGCATCTACTTTGGCTGCATTGTGGGGCCAGCCCAACTGCCTGAGAGGAATAGCTCTGGAGAGAGAGTGATATTTTTCTGTCCAGCCCCCCAGGTGTGCTGCTGTAATACATTCTAGCCCCAATTTGTCAAGAAGTGGGACACACCTGTCTTAGGAAATAAAGTTATATGGTGATTTTCTTTAATGCAGAGATTCTGTTGAGCCACAGTGGAACTTGTGCATGGTCAATGGATTGGTGACATGTCAGACTGTCCTTCCACAAAACACAGGCTGCTTATAAATTGAGGACTTCATGCACTTACCAGTGCACAAATAATTTTTGTGTCTGATTTCAGGGGGCAGTGTCAGTGGACTCCATTACTGATTTGGGTGACAACACTTCCAGGCTGTTGGAAGCACTGCAGCTGTCACATCCCGATGAGCTGGACCTTAAGAGAACTCTGGAGAGGAAAAGGCTGTTAAGCCTCAACCCCATCTACAGGCAGGTTCCACGCATTGTGGACAGATGTTGCCAGCACATTGAAGCATATGGTAAAGTAGCTTTTCCCTCCACATGAACCAGTGCTTTTAGAATGCTAAACAGTGTTGGGTGGCAGCCTGATATCAATGACAAAACGCCCTGTGAACTCAGGGCAACATGATGCGGGCCTTAATTTCTATGACTTAATACACTTGCTTCTAGCCAGGAAGCTTTGACTTGTGAGCTAGCTTCTTAGGATGCAAAGTAAGGCAGAAGTCTAAGCTGAAGTTCAAGGTAAATGAGGAGTCTAATTTAGAGTAACAGTAAGCTAGGGGTCAAATCCAGAGTTTTAGATGAGCAAGGAATCAAGAAACTGTGATAGGATCAGGAGCAAGCACCAGAATCTTTGCCCGGCAACCTATTGCTTTCTGGGGCAAGCTTCTAAAGGCTGGGGTGGGTGGGGCCTGTTTCCTTCAGCCTCAAGAGACTGCTTACCCTAACTGGTCAATTAGGATGAGCTTGGCCCAGGGCATGGGTATGAGTTCATTGCTCCCTCATGTTAGGACTGGCTGGGCCCAGAGCATGGATCTGAGCATGTTACAGGTATATCATGATGGGTGCTGCTCTTAGAGAGATTCCAGGAAGTCTTGGGGACACATCCCTTCAGTTTCCTTTAATTTAAATCCCTCTTTCCAGCCCCTCTGCCAGAAGTGGGAAGGGGCAGAAATTGTCCTGCTAGCCTGCACCAGGCACCCTAAGGATAAACAAATAGGCTCAACCAAAATAAGAGACATCCGAGCTTCATGGGCCTTCACTTATTTGTAGAACATAAGCAAGATCTTTTCTGAGGTTCTGAAACATTGAAGGACATTTGTTGAAGGATTCTTCCTGCCTAAGTGTCATTGCATGAATGGTCTGACAGAGGACACCTGCACAGCAAGTGGTAACTGAATCTCCAACCTCATCTTATTACAGCTACGACAAGTCATTTTTGCCACATACATCAATTCCTCAGTATTTGACAATGGCTCTAGAGTTGCCTTGAAACCCTGTCTTTCTGCCTAGATTTATTTTGCAAGTTTCAGGGTCAGAGGAGCTAGCAAAGATTACTGGAAGTTTCTCTGGGGCTTGGAATCCCAGAGATACCTTCACTACTCGGCAACTCCCACATAGCAGAGAATAATAGTACCAAGGAGACCCATATGAATAACAGCTATCTCAGGTTCCTGACCATTTCAAAAAGAAAAAATATATTGTTAGTATACATATTTCCTTTATATTCCCAAATATACTGTGTTGTATGGTTTCAGCTTTTTGAAACAGAAATTAATTTGAGGGGAATATAGAAATGAAAAAATGTTTTGAAATAAAAATACAAACATTGCATTTGTTTCCCAGCGTTCTATCTCCCAAGGTAAAAAGGTGAGCAAAACTGACATGGATTCAACCACTGTTTTGTTATCATCAAAAGCTGCAGTTTTTTACTAAAATTTTTTGGCCAAAAAGTATTCCAAATGCCAAGTCTGGGCATCCCCCCAGTAGCATAGAGAGAATAAGGAAAGCTCTACCAGTGGGAGGCTAGAGACCTGGGATTTCATCCTAATTGCTAACAGTACCCCAGGGAGGGAGGCTAGTCACACAGGAGCAGCACAGGAAGAAAAAGCGACAACAAAATATCTTTTGAGTTAGAGTTAAGCTATGTTTTTCCTTGCACGTAAAAAGAAAGTTCTTGGGGTGCCTATGTTGCCCAGATAAATCATAAATTTGGATATATGAAGACGTTTGTTTGAATGCAGAGCTGCTCACCAACCTGCTTTTTTTTCAGGTCTCCAGACAGTGGGTATCTTCCGTGTTGGAAGTTCTAAGAAAAGAGTTCAACAGGTGGAGTGTCCAGCTTACCAACCCAATTGAACAGGCACCGCAAAAGGCTAAAGAGATAATGGGATGATAGGACATATTAAAAAAGACCCTGCTTATACTATATACATAACCAACTCTAAACATAGCTCTTTGTAGCTCCTTATTTTGCTTACACAAAAGAAGCTGTAGAGAGATGCACATGTGTACAGGAAAACTGTTCTGCCTGTTTGTGCCTTCTGTGTGTGCAGTAGCTGTCCAACCAAGTCTCCATGCCTTATGCATGTGAGGAATGAGGCTGAGTGTGAAGTAGGAAGAACAAGATAAGGGA